AAAGTATATGTCCATACTGGCAAATAAATCTATTTCTGTATGTGTGTGCTGTGTGTAAATTGTATATATATAGACTCTATAAAATTCTCTCTATAGGGCCGGCCCGGTGGCGCACTGCTTGGGAGCGCGGCGGCGCTCCCGCCGAGGGTTTGGATCCCACATACAGACCGGTTCCCACTCACTGGCTGAGCGAGGTGTGGGCGCAACACCAAGGGTTGCGATTCCATTGCCGATCCCGGTCCGGTACGGGCGCGACACTGAGGGTTGCGATCCGTTGCCGGACACGAAAAAAGACAAGAAAAAAAAAAAAATTCTCTCTCTATATAATATAAAGAATTCAAGTCGTGTATATATATACATATATATACATATATATACACGACTTGAATTCTTTATATAGGCCACACCTTGATGTTTACTTGCATACATGCGACTTTTTATGTATCAGCTTATAAATACACACCTGACTTATGATAGGTGCTGAGGTTTCCAGCTTTTTTGCCTGTGCAAACAGAAGTGCCATAAACCTATTTATTAACATATCTTGGCAGAATTTGGAGGAAATATGGTGAACACATCCATGTGGTAAATTTCTAACAGTGCTATGCCAAATTTGTCTTGAGAAAGATTATACCCATTCCCACTCTCACAGGACTACTGTGAAGAAATGTGAATACTTAGAAGAGTTAGTGCAGTAACAGACACAGGTGTGTATCCCAAGGAACAAAGAAAATCTGCTCCACGGCATTGCTCTAGAGTAGGCATTCATAGAAGACCATTTTTAGTATTTGACGATGATTTAAACCAGTTTTGCCAGAATATCATGGTTGTTGGGTCTCAAGGCACCTAGAAATAGACACTGTCACAGAGGGATTCATAGCTCCAGAAGGAATATTAGAGAGAATTTTTCAAACTTCTCTTGTAAAGTGGAGGGACCCACAAAAACAGGTACAAAAATGAAATCTTCCATGTAAATGTGAGCTAACAGATGAGAACAGGACTGTTTTGAAGTGTAGTGGTAGCATGTGCCCTTCCCCAACCCCAAAGGGGTAAAGGCTGGCAAATCCTAGTCTTCGAGACTGTATTCCTAGCCAGGGTTTCTATCCTTTATACCCAGATGCCCGCTGCCTAATGAGCTATCAGCTGGGGGCCCTTTGCTTTGGGTGGAGACACTTAGGACAAGAAAAGACTGTAGATGTAAAGGCCTGTCTATTAATAGAAATTCATAAAGAAATGGGGGCCTCTAAAAAACANTAGATGTAAAGGCCTGTCTATTAATAGAAATTCATAAAGAAATGGGGGCCTCTAAAAAACAATGCCAGCAGCCAGCCATAGTGGACATTTCTAAATAACTTGGAAAGAAAAGTGCAGTATCTCCATATACAGGCACGGCTCTTCCTGGCAGGGGGCTACAGGAAATCCATGCAAGATGTGAAAGGACAGAAGACTGGCAGTAAAGGTAGGAAAATGCATTCTCAAGAACATAATCTAAATGGGCCTTGGAGTGTGGGATTCTCTAAAGCTACCAGAGTTGTGTGTCAGTGGATATGTTCCTCCAAAAGGCCCCCCTACCAGGCTACCTGCCGTGCACAAGCAGGCTAATAAACTGCGCCACCAGGTGAACCCTGTCAACAGCTTCCTCAGGTTTTATGACACCACCATCTATACCCAGGAAAAGGCCTGATTACCAAGTGTGGGAGGTAACATATTGGCTCCCCCAAGGAGGTCTATGTCCTAATCCCAGAACCCGTGAATATGTTACATGACATGGCAAAAGGGATTAAGCTGCTACTCAGTTGACTCTGAGATGGGAAGATTATTATGGATTGTCTAGGTAGGCCCAATATAATCATGTAATTCCTTTAAAGTGGAAGAGGGGAAGGCAGAAAAGGGGGTCAAAAAGGTAAGTCATGAGAAGGACTTGACCTGTCGTTGCTGCATTTAAAGATGGAGCAAGGGGGCCACGAGCCAAAGAATGCTGCTGGGAATGGCCCTCAGCTGACAACCAGCATGAAGACGGGGACTTCAGACCTACAAACACAAGGAACTGAATTCTGCTAACAGTGAGAATGAATATGGAAATGCACTCTCCCCTAGAGCCACAGAAGGGGACGTAGACTGCTGACACCTTGACTTTAGCCCAGAGAGACCCATGCCAAACTTGTGACCTGCAGAACTGTGAGATAACAAATTAGTGTTGCATTAAGCCACTAAGGTTGTCGTAATTTGTAATAGCAGCAACAGAACATTAATACTCCAAGTCCTGAGAGATTAGAGAAAAGAAACTAAAGTGATAGATAGGGCAGCTATTTGAAAACAGATTAGAAGTCTGGCTCCAAAATAACGAAATATAAAACTAAAATAGATTATGTAGACTTATTCATCAAATGCTAGGATATTAGAACTAGGGAATAACTGTATGAAATTGAGAGAGGTTCTATTAATAACAAGTAAAAGGGAGAATCACTAAAAATAATACTGAGAGCAGATGCAGGTCTGGGGACCCTTATGTACACTGCTAGTGAGGATGCACACTCTTCTCTGTGGCAATATGTACACATCAGATATTTTTTAAATGTATTCAGTGATAACGTTTAGTATAGCATTATTTAGAATAAGAAAAAAACAGCCTGATTAATAGTGAGATTAATACATTTTGGTATATTGACTAATGAATGTTAATATGTAATATTACATATGTTAATATGAGGGTACTCTAAAAAGTTCATGGAAAAATGGAATTAAAAGATAATATGGGCCGGCCCGGTGGCGCACTGGAGAGTGTGCCGCTTGGGAGCGTGGCAGCGCTCCCGCTGAGGGTTCGGATCCCATGTGGAGACCGGTTCCCGCTCACTGGCTGAGCGCAGTGCGGGCGCAACACCGAGGGTTGCAATCCCGTTGCCAGTCCCTGGTACGGGCACGACACCAAGGGTTGCGATCCCATTACCGGTCAGTAAAAAAGATAAAAAGGAATAAAAAAAAAAAAAAAAGATAATATGAATCTTTCCATGAACTTTTTGAAGTGCCCTTCTATATCCTGCTGTAGAAAAACACTCACTGCTATGAAAAAAATGCTCATAATACAAAAATCATGCCACAAAACAATGTGCTATACTTTTATAAACTATGTGTGTGAGTATGAAAACTAGAAGGCAACTTCTGAAAATGTTAAATATATATTGGGATACAGACTTATACAAAATTTTTTATCTGTTAAAAAATATTTTCCAGGTCATCTGTTCTAAGTATGCAATTAGAAACAAAACTAATAATTTTTTTTAAAGAATGTCTATAGTGTTTTACATAGCAGGCCATAACTACTGGGATTTCTTACTTTGAGAGGATGTATGGGGTGAAAACATAAGAAGAAATTTTAGACTTTTGAAAGCAGCCTTATCCTCTGGAATATTAGGGATCTCAACCAGGGCTGGACCTAGGGTAAGAAAATGGAGGCACTTGTGTTGGGTATAAAATTTAGGGGGACACTCAAATTCAGTAATTAAATAATATTCTAATGCAATATTTAAAAATCTCAAAATTAATGTCAAAAATTCCATGATGATGAACAAAATATCAAAATTTTCAATAAAGAGAGGATCAGTATACTTTCACCAGAAAAAAAAAAAAAAATATATATATNAAAGAGAGGATCAGTATACTTTCACCAAAAAAAAAAAAAAAAATATATATATATATATATATATATATGATGGATAAAATGGACCATAGTTTCAACTCAGTTTGACAATTATTTTCTATAGCAGTGATTCTCAAAGTGTGGCCCTCAGCCCAGCAGCATCAGTACCCCTGGGAACTCATTAGAAAGGCAGATTCTCAGGCCCCATCATGGGCCACTGAATCAGAAACACTGGGGGTGGAGCCCAGCAATCTATGCTCTTCCAGCCCTCTGGGTTTGAGAACCACTGTGCTAAAGGACAGATAGGTGGTATTAATAGCAGTGTTGGTAGAAAATGTATATCATACTAATATCTAAAGGCAACCTTCAGAGAGTGTTTGCAAAAAGCCCGGCCCTGTGCTAAGTTCTTTATACGCACAGAGGTCATTTTTATCACCTTAGTGTTACAGATGAGGAAGCTGAGCATGAGCAGAGGTAGGTACATGGCCCCAGGTTGCCCAGCAAGGACAAAGTAGACTAAGGACTCGAATCCAGACCTGCTCAACTCTAAAGTCTCCTCCATTAGCATCTGTGGAAATATNAGGACTCGAATCCAGACCTGCTCAACTCTAAAGTCTCCTCCATTAGCATCTGTGGAAATATCTATGCAGGTGAGAAGGGGAAAGGAGTGGAGGCACAGATGCCTGGGCTTACCCTCGGACTCAGACTCCTCTTCATCTTCCTCCTCCTCCTCTTCATTGCTTTCATCCTCACTCTCTTCCTCTTTGGCAATTTTCTGCCGAGCACTCTTAAACACTGACTGTAAGACGATAGAGTCTTCATAGATCTAAATGGTCAAAGTGGCATCTGTTAAAAACCAGCAGCTGAGGGCCCACGATTCACAACTGCAGCATGCTCTTCCTTATGCAACACACCAGCTTTATTTTATATGAATTTCAGTAGAGATGTCACCATTAGCTTTTATGCCTCCATGAAAACTCAACAGCAGAACACCAAACCCAAACGTAGATGCACATATTCTTATAGGAGAAAGTCCAAATGCACTTAAAATTACATCAAAGTATGTGTGTCTGTGTCTGGGGGAGAAGGCCGGATTAACTATCTTCATCTCTGACAACAAAAATAGTTTTTTAAAAAACCTTTCTCCTTTGAAGTTCTGTCCAATGCTGTACTAATACTGTGGTAAAGCAACCTTCTTTAAAAGGCAATTTCCCTAGCAAAGTGGGGGCTATTCCCCCACTACTGAGTTTATGAGTACCAGCCAATACTCATCCAGTCAACACTGAGCATAGCCCTGGGTAGGTGCTGAGAGAGAAATAAAGTTTCAAAATAATCCTTTTCCTCAAAAAGTTAAAAATAACACTACAATATGATATAGCAATTCCACTTTTGGGTATATATCCAAAGAGCCAAAAGCAGTTTCTTGAAGAGATATTTGCACACCCACGTTCATAGCAGTATTATGCATTACACACAATAGCTAAGAGGTGGAAGCAACCCAAGTGTCCATCCGTGGACGAATAAATAAGCAAATGTGTTGTATACATATAATGGAATGTCATTAGGTCTCAAAAAGGAAGTCCCGTCATATGCTACAACATAAATGAACATGGAGGACATTATGCTAAGTGAAAGAATAAGCCAGTTACAAAAAGACAAATACCATATGATTCCACTTATATGAGGTATCTAAAGTCAAATTCATAGAAATAGAAAATAGAACAGTGGGAATCAGGGGCTGGGGAGGAGGACATGGAGTTTGTTATTTAATGGTAGAGTTTCAGTTTGGCTAGATGAAAAAGTTCTAGAGATCAGCTGCAAAACAGTGTGATTATACTTAACACTACAGAACTGTACACTTAATAATGGTTAAGGTGGTAAATTTTGTTATGTCTTTTTACCACAATTTTTAAAAAAATCTTTAAAAATCCTCGCTCTCTAGCAATGTACTTCATTATTATAAAGATGACCCACACAACGCAAGAAAGCGACAAGGCAACTCGTGGTAAGTGGCAAGTGAACAATATAGGCAGTGAGT